AAAAAAAAAAAAATAATAATAATAATAAAAGATATCTTTATCTATATATATTTTGTTTTTAGAATTCAATAAAATCATAACTCATTGTGTATTGTAATTAAAAAAAATTAAAATATTAATTAAATCCACGTTTCAGAGAATGTAAATATCATTCAGAATTGACCTTAACTTCAAAACAAACTTCATTTGCAGACAGAGATGTTAATTAATCTCAATGTGACAGATAAAGATAAATGCTTTGGATTTTTTTCAAGAGGAAAGTTAATTAATCCTAAGAGACTCATTGCAGCTTTCATAGTTTTCAATAGGAACATTCTCAGCAGTTATCTCTCTTTGCCCTGGCATTCAATCTAATGTAAAGTTAAGGAATCTACCCCACCACCCCAGCTCCTAACCGGATGACATTGAGAACCAAACTTAGCATCAAAATATGTCTCACTGCCTATTCAACCAACATACTAAGTTTGAACTTAATTGGTCAACCATAAAAAAAGTTATTAGAAAAAAAAAAACAGAAAATTTGTGGACGGAAGAATGACAGACGGACAGACAGACAGAGTGATTACTATAGGGCAACCGCAAATCCTTGCTGGGCCCTAATTACATTAACAAAACTGAATAAAAAAAATGTACAAAACGACAATATGTACCGTCACAAACACTCACTGCTCAATGGCCCCGAGTGCCAAGTATATGTCTAGATTTAAAGCCCGTGCCCAGCATACGGTGATGTCTCTATATGAGTGAAAAATTCTCGAATGAGACGTTAAAACAACAGTCAATCGATCGCCTGTTGTGGCCCAACCCTTCCATCGTGAACTATGATTTGAACAAACTTGAATCTACACTACCTCAGAAAGCTTTCGTATTAATTAATATCACTAGTCATGGCTTTGCTTAAAAAAGATTCTGAAAAGATTTTTTCCTCTATATTCCTATGAAAAACTTTGAACTAGTAAGACCCCATCCTACACCCAGGGGCCATGATTTGAACATATGTGATTCTACACTATGTAATGAAGGTTTGAAATCAATTTCTAACCCAGTGATTTTTGAGAAGAAATTGAAAAGATGCCATTGAAGGAGACGGGTGAACAAGGCCTGCTTAATGCCTATATCTTCAGATATTGAAAAATCATATTCAATCTGTGAATTTAGTATTTAGAGTGAAGTTCTCATTATTGAAATTTATGAAATTATGAAAAACAAAACTTGTCTGAGAAAAATTTTCTCGGCAAAAATTATTCTGTTATTAAAAAATAACGTGGTATTCGTGTGGTTCGAACCCTAGCAATAAAATCCCTGATCATTTTCCTTTAAGACTAACACGCTTACCACTACGCTATGCAACTCCTGAAGAATAATGGCATTTAAATGTTTGTGATATAACTCTTGAATAAAAGGACTTCGTTTTTCTCGGAAAGATTCGAATGTTGTGTCATAAAAATGTATTTTTAAGGTAAAGTAGGTCTCTGCTCTATGTTTTTGTTAATCAAAAAATGTATATTTTTACGAAAACTTTGAGGAAACTTTCAAAAAGATTGAGCGAAGACCCAGTCATATCAAACAAGAGGCCCATGGGCCTCAACGCTAACCTGAGTAACTTTGGCCCTGCTGTTCTTCACCTGATTTCCCCCTTGTAATACCTACTGTGGCCCCGCCCTAACCCGGGGTCATGATTTGAACAATTTAAAATCTACACTATCTCCAGGATGCTTCACATAAGTTTCAGCTTTTCTACATATTTCAATGTAAAACTTGGATTCCCTATTGTGACCCCGCCCTACCCCAGGGTGTCATGAATTGAACAATTTAAAATCTACACTACCCCAGGATGTTTCCACATAAGTTTCAGCTTTTCTGGTCAGGTGGTTCTTGAGAAGAAGATTTTTTAATGACCCCACCCTATTTTTTTCTTTTCCTGATTATCTCCCCTTGGAAGGGGGGTTGGCCCTTTGTTTTAACAATTTAATCTCCCCTTCACCTTGTACCAATTTTGATTAAAATTGGATCCGGAAGTTCTTGAGAAGACGTTAAAAATGTGAAAAGTTTACAGACGGACGGACGGACAGACGACGGACAACAGGTGATTAGAAAAACTCACTTGAGCTTTCAGCTCAGGTGAGCTAAAAACTGTGTTATAAAATGAGAAAATGATCCTCTTTGTCCTCTTTAGGGTTCGTATAGTATTTCATACTTCAAAAGCAAATGTTTTCAATCTTTGTAAGATTTTTGCAAATTGTGGAAATTTTAAATAAAGTATACTTTAATGCTAGATGAAATATCAATGAAAATTTGGTTATAATTGAGATTCAAATTATCTTTCAAGTTAAATGGCACCTTATCCCACCTCTGATGTTTTGGAGGTCCGTGTCTGCTCTGGTATTTTGTAATGTTTAATGGACTTTTAAGCTTGAATACTGTTCGTTATCTCCATATATTTCACTTCTTCATGTTTGTCGCACTATATAGGCATTTCGCTTGCCTTGTTCGCCCATCCTCTTTCATGAATTCTTATTCTCTCCTTAAAAGAGTGTGGCTCTTCATGTGAACAAATTTTAATCCCCTTCGCCCAAGGATGTTCTATGCCAAGTTTGGTGGAAATTGGTCCGGTGGTTCTGCAGAACATATAATTGTGAAAAATTTATAACGATAATGGAGAAAATTTTATCCAAAATGCTTATCTCAGCCTTTGGGTCGGGTTAGCTAAATACACAAGGCCCATTGGCCTTAATGATCACCTTGTGTCAATTATATCTAATCTATGGCCCCATGGCCAAGACTTCGTTCTTTCTGTAGTCTCAACTACAATGTATAATTATACAGGCCATGTTTTGAACAATTTTGTACACTGCATATGGATGTTTTCAAATAAATTTAATTACCTCTTGCTTCTCTTATTCATTTCTATACAAAACCTCAAACCTTGAATCTCTTTTATGGCCCTATTCCTGTCTCTCGGGACATGGTTTTAAAAACACTAGAAACTGCATGAAATTTTTTTAGCCTTCTAGGGCAGAGTTTAAATCATTTTTGTTATTGGCTTCGGACAATCACAGCGATTCCATTGTTAGACATCCAGCAAATGTAACTATTTGTCCAGACATGACGCGGCAGATATCTATTTATTATGCAGTGATGGCTTCACGTAAAGTACCAAGGAGCTTGTTATTTGTTTGTTTGTTTGTTGTTTAACGTCCCTCTCGAGAATCTTTCACTCATATGGAGACGCCACCACTTGTCGGTGGAGAGCTTCAAATTTTGACCTATACTCGGCACTCAGGGCCATTGTGCAGTGAGGGATCTTTTCGTGCCAGCATCTACTGCGACACGGGACCTCGGTTTATACGGTCTCATCCGAAGGACCGGTCTCCACGTCCCACAGTGGGATTCGAACCCGCGACGTAAGGATTAACTCCTTACTCCGCGACTCTAGAGCAGACGCTCTACCACTGCGCCACGCGGTCGACGAAATGCATATACATGTATTTTCAAATGCAAGCATACAGGTGAATAAATTTTCCCCTTCTCTACATGTGTACGAGGGGCGATCAAAAAGTTCGCAAACTAACTCTATATTTACAAAACTACTGCTCAGATCAGAATGGAATTTTGCACACAAATAGTCATAGGCATGTTTTATAAATAACTAGATGTTATGTTATGTTTTGGTCCATGTTTATGACTTCAAAATGTGAAAATGACGTCAATATGTGAGTGACTTATAACGAAAAAATGGGTGACTCGGTCTTACTCAAGCAAGGAACGGCTATTAAGTTTAACGTATATCTTGGAAATCCCTTTGCATTGGCATATAATAATATGTACAAAGTTTATGAAGACAAAGGACTTGAAAGAAGTTCAATCATTAATTGGATTGATTGTTTTAGTGAACTGAAGAAAGGGAGATTGTTAAAAATTTAGTTAAAGAACCTCAAGTTACAATAAGAAAAAAATAGTTCAATATCTTAACGATAAAATAATTATTAAATCCCGAAAATATCATTTAATTTCGACTTTAAGCATATCAGATATGATAAAGAGAACGCGTCCATACTTGGTTCACATTAAAAAAACGACGCATCCAAACAGAAGAGTGGTTACCATACTCATTCTAGTAAAAGATATCCACGCATCTTATTGCCGATATTTGGCCATTTTTGACAAATGACTATTCTTGTTATAAAAAATAACCTGCATGGTAATAAATATAAGACTCAGAAAAATCTTTTTGCTGCTGTGAACAGAACGGTATGGAGCATGTCACGTGACCGCAATGGGCAGAACGGTGGCAGATATGCATTAAAACTGGAGGGGACTATTTAATAAAAAAATAATACACACTGAAACATAATTTTATTTCTTTTATGGAAGTAATTCATTTAGTTCGCGAACTTTTTGATCACCCCTCGTATGTGCACAAGAATTTCATTCACTTTCCAGCATGGAAGTACATGTATATCCTTTCCCCTTTACAGTTTATTCAATTATTGATGTGTCAAGTCTAACTCATATATGTTTATTCATTTATTAGGTAACTGGCCGTTCTGTGCCGTGTCATTACATATATGTAGGCATCAAGTTTGACATCTGAATATTTTACTCCCCGATTACTTTCTTTTATAAAAGGGACACTTTAATTCTGAGCCCCTTTATATATCCCATAAGGGACCAATGGGCCACGATTAGGATTTAAATAAATTTTCAATTCAATCCTCACTTTATAAGGAAGCTTCCACCTTTGTTTTGTCTATTTTGTTTCGGGGTTTCCCCCTGACCCCACCTTTCACAATTTCTGATCTCATTATGAAAGAGGCATGGCCATTAACTTGCTCCAATTAAGTATGTATTGTGGCAAGTTTGATGTTAGCAATTTGTGCTATGTACAGTTAAATTTGAAATGATGGAGAACCGTGAAAATGTGTCAACTGTATGCATGATGTTGAAAACAGACAAAAATAGATAACATCACCTGATTTGTGGTAACCCAAATACAAGAGAATGGTTCTACTTTTATTGTAATACCATGAAAAAAAGGTAACATTATACAATGCACTTACTGCCTTCTCTATATGAACAAGCACAAAAATATGACTGTAAACATGCATGCAATGTAATATAGAAAATTCGTACAAGTTTCATGTACTCTGTACATCTAGCACTGAGTTTCTATTAAAATAATGGCATTGGTGAAAATAATGCATGCAATGTCATAAACAAGAGGTGCATGGGCCACAACACTCACCTGAGTAACTTAAACCCCGTTGTTCAACATGTTTTTTTTTAAAGATTTTTATATTCCCATGAATAAAGAACTGAAATCCACAAAATTGAAGAATGTTTGCAAGTTAATGGTACTATTCTTAAAACATAGGTAATCAGAGATTACAGAGCTCACCTCAACGAATGTTTTCTTTAAGTAAGGCAAAGTCCCACACTAAACTAATAATCTAGTAATGTGCATCCCTAGATGCAACATTATGCAATTTTGGTTTGATATGGCTTGCTGCTTGGGAATGGACTTATTTAAAACTTAAAACTAGTCACACATCCAGAAAATGTAAGTCAAATTCAGCATCTGAAGCAAGTTTGAGAGTGTTCGTCCCTTGATGCATCATCCATGCATGTTTGGTTCAGATAGGCCTTATACATGTAGTTACTTGGAAATGAGATCTGCTCCAAAAACTTTAACTTGGTCACTCATCTGGAAAATATAGGTCAGATCAAGCATCTGAAGCAAATCCAGTAGTGTGCATCCTTAGATGTATCATCCATGCAAGTTTGGTCAATATAGGGCTTATAGTTACTTGGAAATGAGGTCTGCTCCAAACATTATAACCTGGTCACTCATCTGGAAAATGTAGGCGAGATCCAGCATCCGAAGCAAATTGCAGCATCTGAAACCTTGACTGGTACAATGAAACACACTAGAAGCATCCCCCATGCATCTGTGATTGATATAGGGCAAAGAAGTATTTGAAAAGAAAACTGCTCCAAAAACTTTAACCTGGGACGCCGACGGTATTACGTAAGCTCCCCCAACTTCGTTGAGGTGAGCTAAAAATTCTTATTAAAGTCCCATATAAAATTTTGATCCCCTATCGTGCCCCACCCTTCCCCCTGGAGGCCATGACAAGAGCAATTTGCGGTAGAATCTACATTAGGAGGCTTTCATTAGTTGGAACTTTTCATGTCTATTGGTATTTGAGATTTCTAACCTTTTGTTTTTATTCCCATGTAAATCTTTGATCCCCTATTGTGGCCCCACCTTACCCCTGGGGACAATGAATTGAACAATTAAGAATGTACACTATGTAAGGAAGCTTACGTATTTAGCACATATACTACAACAGGAAGCTTTCATCTTTTCTGGCCCAGTGGTTTTTTAAAGATGTTTTTAGCAACCAAACCCTTTTTGCCTTTGTTGATTATCTCTCCTTTGAAGGGGACATGACCCTTTATTTGAACAATTTTAAATCCCAAAGGATGCTTCGTGCCAACTTTAATTAAAATTGACCCAAAGGTTCTTCAGAAGAAGTTGAAAATGTGAAAAGTTTACAGACAGATGGACACACAGACAGATGCCAGACAATGGGTGATCAGAAAAGCTCACTTGAGCTAAAAATCAAACAAATTAATGCTAGTCATGAAATAAACTTTCTAATTTTTCTAAGAGATTCACAATTGAATGTACAGCTAATAGTGATTCAGCCTTCAGTCTTGCTGCCACAATAAACAATGTAAATCTGATCCCATCACAATGTTTGGAGTGCAGATAGAGATATAAAGAGATAGTACCATTCCAGCTAGTGTGTACATATGAAATAATAAAAATTATGCATTGTATTTGATAACACCTTCAGTTTTTAAAATCTTGTAATCTCTTCCATAGCCATGTTCCTGAATCTATCTGCATACTCATAAATTCAAACATTTTAGGTTCACAATACAACTGACCAGCACCTTTTAGACATATTGTACAGCAATGGTTTCACGAGCACTTCCACTTTCCATTTTTGTGACATTTCATATCACCAAGTTAACACTTTCTCTGTGCCACATTTATTTTTCTTCTTTCCTTTCCAACCACTGAAGAATTGGTACATTGTATTTTGATTATGAATTTCTCTATATTTTTACTTTTTGAAAGCTACCATGGCGTCTACTTTGTGTATACTGGTTGTGAAGGACCTCAGTCTCACTTCCTCAGAATTAGCAATAAACTGAGGACCATCTTCACCCCATGACTCAGGAACATCAATGTCTTTATCTGTATACACCAGCAAATCAAAGGCACCTGCACAGTAGTGAAATATATTATACTTCCACACAGTTTAATGTAATGTACATGTATTACATTATACTTCCACACAGTTTAAAGTAGTGAAATACATTATATTTCCACACAGTTTAAAGTAATGTATTACATTATACTTCCACACAGTTTAAAGTAATGTATTACATTATACTTCCACACAGTTTAATGTAATACATTATACTTCCACACAGTTTAATGTAATACATTATACTTCCACACAGTTTTAAGTAGTGAAATACATTATATTTCCAGGCAGTGTAGGCAGAGAAATGAAATACAGCAGGTCAAATTTAAAAGAAAATTCTGTTGCCCTCTCCAGACAAACCAACAAAAAATGGCCAAACTCAAAACTTTTTTAAACCTCTGGGAAATGAATATTTATTGTTATTCGTTCCAGAAATACTTTCAATTTCAACAAATTTTGAAAATTCAGCACTGATGTTGAATTTTTCTGGAAAAAGAAATTTACTAATTGCTACTGACCCAATTTTTTTTTTCGTGAGTCGGGAGATGGCAAACAATTTTTTCCCCTAAAGATGGCCCTATACTTCCATGCAGTGTTGACAACAATTAACTGAAATGATAACATTCCCCTACTATAACAGAAAACTTATGACTAAATCATTCCAACTCTGCATGGCATAAGTTAGATCATTACTAGTACTACTATTTCCAAAATTTAATTAAAAAATCTCTTTCACGATACTTTTACCAATGCTGAAGCCCACAATAGTCAATTAATGTTTTGGAGAGTTTGGGGAGGCTGTGTGTGTTCCAAATGGTGATAATAAAAATGGCACTTCAGTATTACAGTACATGTTTATCATTTGAATTTAGAAATTAGTATTAACATGTACAAAAGGCTGCTCTAAATAAGATTTTCTTCCACTTATTAATTAAACATAATTTCAGAAGAAAACAAGAGATGTTTGTGAAACACTTATCATCCCTCCCCAATAATTGGAATTTTTTTAAGTCCAAGGGGCATAACTCTGTCAAAAATTGCTCGATCGTACCCAAAGCAAAACTTGACCTAGATATTCTTACAATAAATCTGTATACCAAAGTTCATTTCAGTATGTGCAATCTCTGCGAAGAAAATGAACGGAAACTGTTGGTGGATTGATAGACAGACCAAACGACCTACTGAAAGACAGTAGCAAAGCAATATGCCCTCCCTTCTTGAAGGGGGGCATAAAAAGGAGGGGGAAGGGGAATGTTTTTTTTTCATCAATGAGAAATTGCTATCCATCAAGATGTTTATATTATCTGTAACATTTTCAATATACTGTATCAGTCATTTACTCCCAGAAAAAAAGTTAATACACAATGAGATACTAATGAACAGAAATCACTGTTGCTTACTTAAATGGGTGAAATACATCAGGCCTCTAAAATTTAGGCACCAGCTGGCGCCTTAACAAAAAAATTTAGTCACCACGAAATTTTTCTAAGGTGCCAACTTTAAATGTTAATAGAATATAGAGACCCATGACATGCCTAAGAAAACATGACATGACCATTGCTAAAAATAATTTCCTCTCCTTTTAAATTTCTTTTTTTTTTCAGAAAAATGTGAAAATTTGCGGAATTTGATCATCGCCAAGTCATTTTAAAATGGTTGCCAATTTGGTGACTTACGGAAAAAATTTAGGCACCAATTAAAAAGTTTAGGCAAATTGTCGACTAAATTAGTCGCCTAATAGAGCCCTGTACATGTGAATAAAAAGTGTTCAATTAATTTAGCTTTATTTAAGGATCTAAAGGCAGTCCACTCTGCTTTCAAATATCATGGAATTATTATTTAACTCTTTTAGTGTATTGAGGGTCCATAACAGTATAGTTTTCATATGACATGTTTTCCCTTTGAGTTACTTCATTTGGCAGCCATCTTGAGGTAACCAAGTGATTTCTCTTCTTTGTCTTACTAAATTCAGAAATATTTGGAGGAAAATATTGTAAAAAATTTGACTTAAAATAGGCTTTAACACAAGTGTATATTCTTCCAAAAACAATGTTCCTACACCAGAATGGCCAGTATGACAAGTTAAAATTGGTGAAGACCTCCAATATGGCAGGCAACTGGAAATAACTCTTGCTAAATTCATGTCTATCAAAAACCATCTATAAAAATTGAACATCTGGTACATGCTGTTGACTTACATGCTCCCTCTAGGAGAGGTAGGAATGTTACTGAGGCGGTAATCTGACGTATAACAGCACTGATCTCGCTATTGATTTCTTTCTCTGACTTCTCACGAGGTTTACTACAAATGGATCAAACATCAGCAAAATCTCATTTTAAATGCCACTGCACCAAAAAAGTCAATTTTTGTGATTCTGACTCAACCATAAGATTAGACCATAGAAAAACATTTTACGTCATATTTTTAAGTATAATTTTGGCATTACATTATATTTGATTTAAACACTAAAACAGCACAGTTCATTTAATGTGTATTTACACATACACACCCTAAAGAAGTTGGATACTAGCTGACTTAACAATACATTTGAGTTATTTTAACTAGCTTTGAATAAAACATTGGGTTACCTTTCTTTCAGGGCCAATTTGTCCCCTTCCACATCAAACTGCCACCTCTCCAGAACCTCATTTGTATCCACATCTTTAATGACAACTACCAATTTCTTTACCGTCATATTATACAGCCATTCTAGAGGGGGAAAAAAAAGGTCTCCGACTCACATCAACAAGTTACCAATAGGTTGGACAAGACTTAACTTAACCATTAACTTTTCCCATTAATTAAATGCAATGGTCAATAACACCACACAAATGAAACAAGTGCTACTTATACAAAAATAGGAGGTACCTTGTGGGAACGATTTTAGTTAAATATGTTATGAAATATTTCTCAATTGAATATTTTGGCCAGTATAATTGTGATTTCAGCTGGGTTAAAGTACCAGGTAGCGCCAGGTTTTGAAAGGCCTGACTTCAGCTGTACATGTATAGCATTATAAATTCATTTAAGTTTTAACTTTGACATCTCCAATCTTAGGTAATATATCACTTTTTATTCATAAAAACATTATTTTTGCGTAATTACGTGAGACGTCTGCTTGCGAAAATTCCATTCTCGCATATAATTCTGCTCTTAAGGATTAAATAGAGCAATAACCAAAATTTGTGAAAATTTTGTTTCACTTATAAATACCAAACAACAATCTTGCGAAATTAAGGTGTCACAAAAATTAAGTGATCAACAGTATCTTGAAGTCTCTTTCTCCCATTATGTTCAAGGTAGTTAAGTAGTAATAGCTGACAATATGTCACATGATTATCTATACATGTATTCGCCAAGTACTTTAAACAATTCTGACATATTTTATAAAATTGTTGTTGTTTAAATATTTTGAGTGGGTCTTTAAAATTTGTTGTCTATGTATTGTAATGTCCCACTGCATATTGTTAACTGCATTGAGAGGGCCTTGTGGAAAATTACTGCTTTGCAATATCAATTTTTCATCAATAAAATATCACTTATCACTGATAAGTATTACATGTATTCCAATGACACTAATGGAAAAAAGTTACTACTCTGGCATATATATCTTCGCTAGCCAAGGGTTTCTGATCCGCTACTCTTCTCACAAACCCTTGGCCTATGGTACTGTCAAAAGACGGGAATGTTTATGTCACGTGATCTCGAATCTTACCACATATTCACAGATTGTGTCACCGACAGAAATAAAAAGCAAATTTAAACATTTAAGTTTTGAGAGAATAATTATCAAGAAGGTATCGAGTGATGTTTTTTTTTTTTTTTTAATTTTTTTTTTTTTTATTTGTTTATTTAGGGTGCAAATCTACATTTGTAATATAAATTCCTGATCACATTATTTGCACATCAACTTAATTAAGATTGGATGACACCATAGCTATTTACAGAATGGCATGTTATCTTACGGATCATTGTTTACTTGTGTTTTTCATTCCCAAGACTAAAGAGTCAAGATATATCCCAAACGCAAATATCTTCATTTACAAAAAGCAATTGCTGATTGGTCGAACTGTATCAATCAACTCCAATCACAACTCGAGAAAAAAATCCCTACTTTTGACAGCACCCTAGGCCAAGGGATTGTGAGAAGAGTAGCGGATCAGAAACCCTTGGCCAGCGAAGATGTGGCATATAAAGCATTTAAACATTGTGACTGCTTGGGAAAACAACGTATTTCAGCAAGTCATCAACTGAAAACAAGGGCAAATTTACTTGGGTAAAAGAGGGATAGCCGGGACCAAGTATACCCCCCTTTTAAAAACTAGAGTGTTCCAAGGAACGCATGTGTCGCCTGCTTTGTAGCTTCATTAAAGATGTAAATAAATCATGGTCAGCTTTTTTATCTACTATTAGCACGATAGTTCATGCATTTGCCTCCAAAGAAAAAATGGCATCCATGGATAGTATAAGACTGTCAAAAAATCTGACAATGAAAGAAAATATGGTTCCCTAACCCTCAAATGAATAATCAAATTGAAATTATCAGAAATAACTATTTATCATTTTATTAATGCATGTTTCCAACAATCCTCTAAAAGAGATTTCAGTCTGTCTTGCAGGTTGCAACACAGTATTAAATTTTGCTATATATTCTTACCTAAAATGCACAACTTTGAGTAGGTGGTATTAAATTAAAACAAACTTCTGAGAGGTTTCCTTTTCAGATCTTGTAAAACAATTCTTTATAAAGATTTTAGTACCAAGAAATACTTAGCCATCCAGCAAAGGCTCGCAAGGTTGTTACGGTCGAAGTCGAGCAAGTGCTTGAAAATCAAGTTCAGGACCTAATCACTCCCCACTCAAATACAGTATATAAAAAAAATCAGCACGCCCTAAATTATAATGAATCTGGTCAATACAGGAAGTTTACATATAGTTCTTCATTTCATAAAAAAAAATTCAGCTCCAGTCTCGTGCAAAAATGTCCGAATCAGGAGGGGAGATTCAGGAATTATTTTGCATCAGCCATGTTTTGAACCTCAACTGAAATACTGTTAACACCTTTACTGCAGACAGACAGAGCTCTAGACAGACGCCGGGTAAAGTGATCCCTAAGTGCTGCTCTGCTCTGCAGGCGACACAAAAATTAAAACTTACATCATTTTTATGAAATCACAGTTAAGGGTACTTTGCAATTTTGAATGAACATAATTGCAAAATGACACCCTTGATAGAAATGCTTCAAGTTGGTCATCAAAAATTTAATACCATGAATACTAAGAAGAAAAGAAATGGTAAATAGCTCTAATCTTAACTTAGATTGTATACTTTACCTACCTTTAACTTGTGAAATGACTGTATTTAGATACTTTTTTAACATGTCATCAGATGTAACAAGTAAAGTAAGACCATATTTCTGTACTCGTGTAAAACTCTCTGGTGGATAAATCCCTCTCTGGTATAATATACTGTTAATTCCATATGCTGCAAATTAGATCAAAACTGTTAATGTGATAGGGTAGTCAACAAATACAAAATAGATGTCTGTAAGAAAACTCCAGTGAAAGGTGAGAGAAAGAAGCATTTTTCCACCATACATCTCTACTGTAGAAGTAAAATACCCCTTGTTTTCATTTTATAGTAACTCAACTGTAACACAATTGAAAATGATAACCTATAACAATTGAACTTTGGTATCTTGAACACTGATATCTTGAATCCATCAGGTCCAGGAAAATCACTATATTTATCTATATAGCTTAATTTACCTATATAGCTTTATTTACCTATATAATATAGCTTTATTTAGCTATTTTAGAATAAGTTTATGTTTTATGAAAAGCAAACAAAAAGTCGCATGAAAATTATGGCTGATATTTTTTTAAAAAGGTTTGATAAAAACAACCTAGGGCATAGATAGTAAAAACATTGCCTCCTTTAAACACTTTTTAACCAAAAAATGCATCTCTATTGTTTGGATAGCTGTCCATTACTGGAAGTGCGATGAGGCATGACTAAGTGTGATTGCCTTGCATTGTGCTGAATTATTACCAATCATCTTGTTGACCAAAACTGCTTTTCTTTGTTAAAGTAGCTGCTTATTCACAGATTAACTGTTATACATAGCCCCAAAACTTTAAGATCTTTGATTGCAATTGCACAAAAGAAGAAACATTTTTAAAAGTGGGTTTTTGGTGAAATGTTTTCAGTCCATTTCAAAGTCAAACTAATACTGTCTCATTATGCGACTTTTTGTCTGCTTTTCATAAAACAAAAATTTACTCTGAAATAGCTAAATAAAGCTATATTATATTGGTAAATAAAGCTATATAGGTAGATTTAGCTATATAGCTAAATATAGTGATTTTCCTAGACCTGTCCATGTCGGAGTGATTTTTGAAGTTTCAATTAGCCCTTTCAAGATAACTGCAGTACTACTCTTTTGCAGGGCAAAATAACATTTGGCGAAGTTTTTGATGACAAATAATTAAATTACGAATATTTGACAATTACTTTTACATCATATTTCACCAAAATATATCATTTTGCCCTGCAAAAGGGCAGTACCACAGTAATCGTGAAACAGTTTATTTCTTCTTCATGTATTTTAACCTCGTCTTCAATGCAACTTAAGTGTGATATTTTCATGTATATTGTTTTCAGATAAGTTCAAATTTTGAAAATTATCACTGCATCAAAGTGCGATTTTCTGCACATCTTAAAAAAATCGCTAATTTAAGAAATAAGTATGAAATAAGTATGATTTAGTAGCTAAATAAAGCTACTTCGGGTAGGTAAATAAAGCTCCGTATTCAAGCTACAGTATCTAAATGTAGTGATTGGACCATACCTGTAGAAAATAAGACGCATCTTACCTCATCACGATTTGTAATCGAGGTTTTTCCAAATCAAAAGCTGACAGACCGTGTACTAAAATGATTAAAGTGCATCAAAGCCTCAGATATAGATACTTACAAAAGAATTCAGCTACGATCTCAGTGGAGCCTCTCAGAGTAATTGCATTCGACGTTGCAGTCGCTGCCATCGTTAATTTTCCCGCCGATGTGTTGTTATTTTTCTTAATACCGATTCCGACTCTTATAAGAACTGGGTAAAAGTAGACACATTCTTGTTAGTTTTCATTGGGAAAAATGTACTCCAAACTTGTACAAAGAAGAAATTTATGGGACGTGCAGGAATTGAGAACACCCACATGCCAAAGATGTAAATTCTATAATAGGCTATATTAACTTGAATTACATGTAATGCGATGAACGAAAAACAACAATAAGCCCATGGTCCTCAACAATCACCGAAATTCACCTTTGCCCTGTTGTTTTACAAAGATCCTCCATTTTATTCAGATGAAAAATTATCTGAACCTCAAGGGGTCGGGACATAACCATGCCAGCTCACACATGTACTGATCTAGGGATGTTTCAATACCAATATAACTAACATTTTGTTCTGCTGAAGAAAGAATTTTACAGCCCCCCCCCTTCTCCTGTATATTTGCATAATGTAATCTTAATTCCTGATATAAGCCCCACTCTAATCCCGGAGTTTAATATTTGAAAAGAAAATTGAACTACACAACTTGGGAATGTATATGCATAATAATTGATTCAGTATGGCACAGCTACTTTTGAAAAAAAAAAATCTAAGTTTCCTACATATTTTGCATGTAAAACTTTGATACCCTGTCCTAGCCCTACCCCTGGGTCAACGATTTAAACAAACTTAAATCTGCACTACCTGAGGATCCTTGCATATATTACAAAATTAATGTAATATGACTAATCATGCCCCTGTTGTTCTTGAGAAGATTTTGCAAGATTGTTCCTATATATTCTTAATATACATGTATGTAAAACTATGATCCCGATCTGATTAAAATCAGATCCTCGATCCCCCCCCCCCCCCGCCTTTTTTTTATTGTAAAAAGGAGCGGATAGATTTCATTTTAATCAGATTATATTGTATAGGCACATCCTTTCCCAGGACAATGATTTGAAGAATATCTATGTACATGTATCCAACAAAGCAATGTTGGTCTATCCTTGGAAGTCATTACAACCATCTTTATAACTGGAAGTATATTACTTAAAGGAACAGACAAATATTTTATATTAATATAGAATTGACACCTTAGGCTTCAAATAAATACCCATTCCTTTTCTGATATTTTAATTAGTGTCCAGCGAAAACAATCTTATTATAACATTTCTAATAGTTTAAAAATTATTTGCACTCAGCATCCACATTCACCAAAGTACTTACATGTCAAAGTGCATGAAATGAAACAATCACACATTTTCAGAACTTGAAGAACAACACCTGCACCTATTAAAACATCCACACTCTACACAAAATACTCATCTTACAATAGCAGATAATGCTTTGTCAGGAAACTTTCACATAAATTTCATATTTTCTGGCACAGTAGTTCTTGTGGTGGATTTTGAGTGACCTCATCCTATTTTTGCCCTTTCTTGATTATCTTCCCTTGGACAAGAATATGGTCCTTCATTTTATTAAATTTAAATTCCCCACTCCCAAGAATATTTTGTGGTCAGTTTAATGGAAACTTGTCCAGTGGTTCTAGATAAAACTTAAATGTTTAGAAGTCAACAATTAATTGTAAGTAAATGATAAGGACTCACACCTCAGGATACAGACTGTTAGATGGTCCATAACTGTGGGTTAGGAAATTTATACAATACTCTGACTTTGGATTTTATCAAATTTATTTAATGAATTTATGAATACTGTAATAATTTTTCAAAGTCAGAACTTTTTAAAGACATTTAATAACAACCACTAACATACCATCTTCTTTAGCCAGGGGTTTCTGACCCGCTGCTCTCATCTAAAACCCTAGGTATGGTTTATGAGGAGAGTAGCGGACCAGAAAATCCTTGGCTAGCGAAGATGCTGGCATACTTGTACATGTAAGTATAACAAAATACCCAGACTGTAATATTCAACATTACAAAGAACTCCGCTTGAATATACTTATCACACCACACCCTCTACAGTTATCTCAGAAATAACGAAATAAATAAAAAACTGTAGTGTCAAAATAAAATGTTAGTATTGTTAAGAACTTCCGTCCCCTGTCCGAAGTTTTCTCAATTGGACCACTTTGGCTGGAGTCTTCTTCATGTCGTAGGCCTGTCCTATGTAATACATACAATTAATGAACACCGTGGTTATATTTAGATGCCAGCCGTACTCGCTAGTGGAATAGTCACTGGGGAAAGTGTGATGGTAGTTATGGAAGCCCTCACCCACTGCACTCAGAGTCACGCCCAAATTCTCAGCTGGGTTAATCCGCTTATCGTAAGGTCTTGTGCCCCATAAATGGGCAAAACTGTTCACAGACCACGTGGCATTAAGTCCAATACAATAGCGTAAGATGGCGGCAAGAAAATATGCATTCCACAAGGATTCTCCCCAGAAATACCAGGGAACAACTGAGGGTATGATGAAACACAGTAAAATCATCAGAGGAATGTAGAACCTGTAAAAATGAAAATGATCTTGCAGTAATACATGTATTATTTATATTATAAATGAACCTGGGTTATAAATCAAAACTTTTTTTCAAACTGTCACAAATACTTTCATATTTATTGTTCATTTAACAAAATTTATAGAAAGGTACCTTCTTTGAAACATGACAATTTTGTCAGCATAAAGATCAGAAAAGTCGAGACGGCTCCCTTTCTCCATAACATTCGGATGTTTTCTGACCAGCAGCCAGCCGATGTGGGCGAAAAAGAAGCCTCTCTTGGCGTTGTGTGGATCAGCATCTGTTTCTGAGTATTTGTGATGAACTCGATGGTCACGTGACCAGTCAAGTATGTCATTCTACAAAGTAATTAGTCGTTTTCATTAAAAAAAAACCTAAAAAAAAATACTAAATTTCCTACATTGAACAAGTGCCAAGTAAATAAGAAAGATGATAGATTTAGCATATTGTCAATGTCTGAAATTTAGGAAGCCAAAGTGGAAAAGTGGTACCAGCATCCATACAGTCCTCTCTCCCTCTCCCACCACTCATTATATAGTCTAACCATGTTAAAAGCCTATGGTATCATGTATTTAAACTGACTGCTCGCCTTCCCAGAGAGAGCAACGCGCTATACTTCAAGAAAAAATATCCAAATACCGAGATTCTGAGTTCTAGAAGATTGACTTGGAAACTAATATCTGAACAATGATATGCAATTCACCTGAAAAGCGGCAGCATTCATCAGTGCCAAGAAGAAACGGAGTGGTGCCCGGGCTTTGTACGACTTGTGGGCCCAAAGACGGTGCGCCCCTGCAGTTATTCCCATGGCAGCAAATAAATAGTAGAAGACGCCTGAAATATACATAAGTTTTATGATAAACAAATTAATAAAAAAGAGAGAAAACGGAAAATCACAAAGTTAACATAGGACCTATTTCTTGAAAAAAGTGCCTGGTCTGGCAAGATATTTCTTTCGTTTGTGTAATAAATTTTAGCTATACTGTTTGAGAACTATGAGTTTTAAACTCGGATATCACTTTAGGTAATAACTGTTATAGTAAATAAGGAGCCATCGTCCAATTTCTGTCTGGGTGTCACTGTAGGAACTTCTCCTATGTTTCAATGATTCAATTATATGATCACCAATGGAATTTTCATGAATGCTGGGAAAAGAATCTATTTTTAGCTAACACTGAGCACTACCTGCTGCTAATTTCTGAATTGTTTTATTTATCATTAAAATACAGTACTAAAATTTTGTAAAACTTTGACGAGACTAAACCAAGTTACAGAATTTACTTACTCCAGACCCATGTAAAAGGGTGTGATTTTGGTATGAGAGTCAAAGCGTAAAGCGCACCGCCGTGCAAAAGCACCATCAAAATGACGTTTCTCCAAACAATCCGAACGTTTGCTTTCCCCGGTCCTGTATGTTCATCAAATGACATGTTGTCCGAATGAAGCACCTCCTCCACGACACCTCTAGGCGATTCTTCTTCTGTCTGTATGACATTCCTGGGTGCCATATTCTACAAAAGTTTTAAAACTACGATAATGCTCATAAGGAATATGACGTCATAATTTAATTACGTCACAGATATCTAAGTGAAAGATTTTAGAAATGAAGCTGTTTAATAAAAGTAAAACAGTTTCAATTATGACTAATATCTTTTGTCTCTATCTATTTACTCGTGAATAAACGAGAAGGCATAGCAAGGAAAACTGAATAGGAAGTAAATAAGTGTAATGGAAGAGAAAAGGGATTGTGGGAAGGGTAATCTTGAGAAGATAATTGAAGTTAAATCATGAAAAAAAGAAGAGTGGATGGAAAAGGGGGAGTCGGATGTATACCCGATGTTTGTCACTAATCATGCAAACACCATGAACTTTATGCATGATCTGTGATAAGATGGTTTAACAAGTTGATCAGCAGGTTAAAAATATATCTTTTCTCCCACCCCCTAATTTTTCTTTTCTCTCACAGTTTAGAACCCTCATCCTTTTTATTTTCTTCCACGTCCCTCTTATCCTACATGGGATTGTCACTGTTTTTAAAACAGGTTGGGACCAATCGCACATGCAAATGGGATATAATACAGCCCCTTTTGGGATCCCAAATGGGATATAAATTTACAGTGCAAAAAAGAAAAACTTTTCATCTATAGCTGTACATATCATAAATCCGCATCAAAATACTTTTTAAAAAAGTAACGTTTGGTTAACAAGTTTTTCTGTATCCCCACTAGCTGTTTAGGAGACTGATTTTTTGGAAGATCCTACTAGACTTCTTGGGGATTAATCTCACAAACTGTATAGGGTTATAGAAAACCTTGCTCGCCAAATGTTATTGTATTCAGTTTATATTTATGCAGATTTAGAATATTTATAGCCAAAATTTTTTTAAATTGTACTGTAAATTTATACTCCATTTTAGGATATTCTATCCCAAACTGGCTATTACACCCCATTTGGGCGATTGGTACCAATTTAACCTGTTTAATAGTACTTAACTTAAAAATTTACCAATTTGGTGCCGGTGT